TCCACCTGCCATTTGCTACGCGAAAAGTCAACAGCCATTTGATGATACACTAGGATAACCAATTACTGACAGAGGAACTGAGCACTATACATAACTCAGACTATCAACTATTTTAATACCAATATTATTAATATTATCATCGGTAACGTTGGTGTAATAACATTATAAAAATGCATCAAAATAATAAACAAAAAATACGAGAAACCAAAAACAAACACTGGGACGGGGAGCGTAATTCCCCAGCAGAGAAAAGCCCCTATTATAATATGATAGTTCTTTTTTTCTGCAGTGCACGCGCTATTTTTTATAAGAGATATCCCAAATGTTTTTGTAGAATTGGAAATTAAAGTTACGTCGAAGAATAATTGTTAAGCTAAGAGTCATATAGAAAGATCAATAAAAAGCTCCGTAAGGGTAGGTAGTGACTATTTGCAAAGTGGATTCATTTGGAACTTTCCCTGTTCAAGATCCAGAGATCGATTTAAGACTTAATGGCAATAGAAAAGAGACAAGAAGAGATAACACACACCTTTTAACCGTTTGAAAACTCTCCATGACTTGACTTTGCAAGACTCTTTACTTCACCAACCAATAGTTTTTTGAAGGGTTTTTTGGTTGATACTGATCCCCGACACCTCCAGTTGTCAAAGTCCCTCCAGATTTCATAGATATACAGCGATGGCTCAGTTGATGAGATGGAAAGAAGTTTAAAATTTACACGACATAAAAATTGACAGTTCCACCACATAGCAGAACTCATTTGAATCTTGCGGGATCTGTGCAAGACTTTTATTAGAACTGTATTCATTTAGGAGACACTTTAAGGGAGAGGTTTGCGAATGAAAACTGACTAAAAGTGCATTGTTTGGCCAGCACCTCTCACCACCAACAGGGACCTGTCGAGTCCCTTTACTGTAATTTAAATTACTTTGTTGTTTTCTTGTTATTTAACATAACAATATTTAGCATTACACTTTTATCACATTTTTCTTTCCACTAACCACATTTTAAAAGTACTTCTTTCGCTGATTATAACTAATTCGCTGTATACCTTTTCTTCAAATAAGGTGTCCATGTTACCCGGGGAGGTGTTAAGAAACAATTCTTATAAATTTTGTTGGGTTAAAAATATTGCACATTGGCTAACTGTAAACTTAGTGAATGACTGTCTAACCCTGGTTTGTAGTTTGAGCATCTCTCGCATAGCAAGCTTGGTGCCCTAATCCTCAACAAGGCCCACTGAACAGCATTTGATGGAGAACCGTACAGTATAAATGATGATTGTATGTGTTGGGAGAGCAAGAGCTATTGTTGTGAATATCGCACTCAACTACTCTCGTTACAAGCTCCCAAGTCAGTATGGCGGTGGCTTCTGCGTAGGATATCAGTATGGAGATGAACTGATTTCTTTTTTTGTTAAAAAAAAAAAAGGTTTAGAAATTTTGCTTAACGAAGTAATATTCACGCTTTCTCCTTTCTCAAGTTCGTTTACACGCCTCGATTATCGCGGCAATGTGAATATCGGAATGAATTTTAAAATGACAGATAAGCAACTGAAAATAAGATGTATGATATGATAAGACAGGATGAAAATAAGATTGTGCGAGGAGAGAAAATCAGATCATGCTGCCATTCAACATTTGGTCTTGTCCTGTTCCCACTGTCAGATGAAGAAAAGTCCCAAACAGCGTTAGACAGCACCAGGCCTACCCATTGGTGTAGAAGGACCGTTTCACCGCGTTGCTGTTGACTGTTTAGGGTCGTTTCCGGTTACCAACTCCGGCAATCGATACATTGTCGTCTTCAGCAATTATCTAACTCGTTTCCCAGGGGCCTTTGCAGTACCCACAATTGATGCGGCTACGTTTGCTGATTTGCTGGTCAATGAAATCATTGCACGACATGGAGCTCCCCCAACCCTGTTGTCAGATCGAGGCTCCAACTTCCTGTCCAGCCTAGTGAAAGAGGTATGCTATTTAATGGACACGAAGAAGGTTTTTACAACCTTCTATCATCCACAATATGTGATGGGTTTGTGGAGAGATTTAACGGCACTCTCGCCCAGGGCATTTCAATGTGCGTCAGCAGTGACCAGAAAGATTGGGACAAATTCTTGAACCCAGTCCTTTTTGCCTACCGTGTCTCGCCATCTGAGGTCACAAGTGAATCGCCGTTTAACATGCGATATGGGAGAGAGCCACGCCTACCTACTGATGTTTCCCTACTTCCACCGCGGGAAATTTCCGCGTCCATAGCTAAGCACCGTGCAGCTTGGCCAGCAACGCATGAAGGATTACCATGACAGAACGGCAGTGCTCCTCAAACACAGACTTGGCGATAGAGTATAAATAACCGATGGCGCTACATTCATCGTCCGTCGGCTGCAGAGGAATGCTTTAGACGTTGCAGAAATTAGTACGATGGTCGCAGCAAAGCTACGGTCTCCCCTGGTGTTTTGCCCCAGATGCCTTGAGGGCCACCATCCGCAGTAAACTACTTGCTTCCCACTCCCAGGTAGCACATAGCACCACCCTGGCAATAATGGTCCAGCAACTAAGAAGGACGCTCCGTTGCACCCGGGTTTCTACTTTCCGGACGTCTGCGTCGTGGCGCAATATCTTATCTTTGACGAGGATTATTTGGCACCTGCTAAAGTACATGACGGACGAGGAAACGTGTAGAAGTCCGACGACTTTCAAAGGGATTGACCGTTTGTACGTAAGTGGCGGGTTCAGTATCAGTCCCTAGCCAAGCATTTGTATATCCTTGCCTGTGGTCGCACACCACCACAGACTCTTAAGAACGACTATAATATGTTTCCGGATTTGTTCCAAGAGACGGACTTCTTTTGGGGATAGCAGACTCACTAGTAACTTTCTTTGTATATATGTAGTTGTTTCGCTATCAATAAGGTGTTATATTTCGCTTTTAGTTTTTCGTTTTGGCTCTTTTAGGTAAGCGTTTTGAACTCCCGAGGCCCCTATATTTAGGCTTGTTTGGTTTATGCAGCGGTTCAGGCACAAAAGTCCAATACAAAATTCAACAAAACATAAACAACAACAACCAAAAAAATATATCTATCTATCTATAGGCACTAGTTATATCTTACTATTGATGCTGGTGTTACTTTGATTATACTTTTAATTGCTTGACTCAGGAGAGTTTCAAGCTAAGGTTGGAGGAATGGGAAGAGAGAAAATCAGATCATTTAGTTTATTTTACATATTCGCTTTCGCTGACAAAAAAAAAAAAAGAAATCCAACGTAGACACATTTGTTTTGGTTCGCTTTGCATTTCCAGCTCATTAGCCGAAGCAAACACTTGCTATTTTGCTGCAAGATCATAACTGTAGTTGGAGTTGAACTTAAATTACTACCTGCAATAGTCCTCTGTTAAAATGTTGTCTACCTGTATTGTTTTGAAAGTTATTAATCTTGTAAACGTTGAATTCCGTCAACCAATCGAGGCTTCTGAAATGTATGAGATAATTTCCAGTAATGACTTTTTAATAACCTTATGTGATTGCTTAGAATAGCGTTTTGGCTTAAATGATTCGTGCCTTGTAAATATTCTTTGGTTACATTCTGGACATATCCTGGATATATTCTGGTTATGTTCTGGTTACGTTATTGGAGTATGTTATTGTATTAAACTCTTCTGTTGGAGCAAAGTAACTGCGTATTCTCTGACGCCCTGTTGGATTGTTTTGCTGTGATAGATCCCGAAACTTCTAGGAGTCTGACAAACTCCGTCGCTGCAAGCGTGTTCCCGTCTGGATTGCTGTAAACAAGGAGAACAGCTTAAACGGCCCCAAAAAACTGTTGTCACAATAGAATAGTGATAGCAAAAGAATTTGACAGACAAGATTTAGAATAAGAAACAATGGGAATCATTTATAATAGAAAAAGAAGAATTGATAGTGAAGATTAATTGTCACCATTATAAATTAATCACGTTCCTTGCAATGCATCCTTCCAATACTAAAAAGGCGGTTTAGGAACTTGCCCGCAAGCCTTACGTTTTTCACCTCCAGTCTTCCAAACCAATGTAATCGCTTTACCCATGTCCAATGTACTGCTGCAAATACACCAACAGTTAACATTTCAGCACCAGACATTCTTATTCCCGCAGATTTTAACTTTGATAATTTCACCGTTTCCTTAGATAAATCTTACATTGTTATCGACCATATTCTCACAAAGCGCCTTCCTAAACTTAGAGCTGAGTCAATCAGCTACCGCCAACTTCATCAACCACTTTCAACGACATTCTCACATATCTTGCATTTGCATTGACCATTGTCAATCTTTTGCATTTGCATTAACCATTGTCAATTTTTGTTTGGTCGCATTTGTCGAACCCATCAACCCCTACAATTGCCTACTATTTCTTTATCCACACGCAAAACTACTACTCCCTTATTTTTCACCCGCTGAACCTTTTTGCATTTTTTCACATTTTCACATTTAACATTGTATTAATCTTCCCGCTCTTTATTTTCGACAACACCAGGTTTTTCATGGATTAGTCAAAACGTGGAAAACTTTTGTTATTCTTTTAGATTGTTTGGGCAGCAATTATCACCGCCACCACCTGTCGAGTTCCTTTGCTATGCGTACACATGCAGGTTAAGTAACTTGGTGGACAAGGATCCATAAGAAGGGAAAATATTGTAAAATAAAGTTAGCTGACCTTCGGGCAGGAAATTAAAGTACAAACAAAGATCCTGGTAGAAGTCTGGGCAACCTCCTGCAGAAGCGAGTCAGTCAAGCTTTTCCATCATAAAAGATCCAGCTACAACTTAAAGAACCTCCAGTCCAGAGACTGAAGTATTTGAGGATGAACTATTTGAGAATGAAGTATTTGAGAAGGAACTATTTGAGAATGAAGTGTTCGAGAAGGAACTATTTGAGAAGGAACTATTTGAGGATGTCGAACAATAAATTTTGCAATATACTTAAATATACCTTTTTAAAAATATTTTTTTTATTTAATAAAGCATTTAATTAATTAGCTACGTGAGCGGTTAATCAAGTAATTGTTATTTAATAAGATTTTGATTGGCAGTATTTGTAACTTATTCTATTATTAAACGGAATTTTAGAATTGTAAATTTTAAGCTTTATAATCATTTTCTGTATTAATTTGAACGTGCAGTTGAATATTTTTATAGAAACTGCGCAATTGTAATTATTATTATTATTATTATTATTATTATTATTTAAATAACTTTGTGTTTTGTCTTTTATAGTATATTTATCATAATGTGTCTAGTGTATAGTATTGTATTGTTTTGTTTGGATTCTGCTTAACCACTATTTAATGTATTTGTTTTTTCTTTTAGCTTATTCAAGTCAATTTGCTTGCCGTCTGGTGTCCATGCTACCTGGACAGGCATGCGTATTGATCAGTCTCTTTTGAACATTTTGTGAATAAAATTGTTGTTGTTGTAAATTAACAAGCGAACATAAACATTTCGGACCTAAATAACATGAGGCACTTTGTTTAAGGATTAATACTTGCATTAAATGGCAACTGTTGGACCCAAGTTCTATCTGTTATACAGTTCTCCGTAGATAACATTACTGTAACAGATCCTGGCCTCGCTGCAGACAGAGAATTTCCCCAGGTTTTAGAAAAGCTTACCCAGGCAAAAACCTATTATCATAGTGCTGGAGAAGCGTGGTAGTTACGGTGGAATTATCAGGAGACATTCAGAACAGTCCTGAACGGAATGTAACCCATTGGAGCGGACGAGCAAGTAAGTGAAAAAAATTGACAGTTTCATCTCGAAGTTATTCCAAAAAACCGTACAATTTGAGAAGCTGAAGAAAATTGTACGGAAGCAGTACGCCCAAGTCGAAGGTTGATGCCTGTGTTGAATGCGATTTGCCATTCGACGAAAGTGAAATAGCCTACGAGTTACAACGCGAACGAAGCCTCGGAGAAGAGAAAATTTCCGGAGTACCAGAAGCCCGTCCAGAAATAGCTGATATAGAAAATAAGACGAATTTGTAACCCGTCGATGTCAGCGTGAAACCCCTGGGTCGAACCCAGCCACAAAAACAATGCGAGTTCAAGTGACCCGCCTATAGCTACAGACTTCCAGAGAGCCTATTGTTTGCGAGAAGAGGTACTCGCTGAATTGGAAGACCAGGATATAAAAGATCCAGATGAATTTTGTTCCAAAATGTTCAGTTTTAGAAAAAGGAAGAGAAAAAGAAAGAGAGAAAAAGAGAGAGAAAAAAGAGAGAAAAAATAGACAAAAGGAAAATTTTTCCGGAAACACCGACTTTACAGCAGGTGGTCAACAAGTACAACAAGATTGTTTTTGGTGACCACAGACAACGTCTTTGCGGTTTGTGGCCAGCAAGTACCAGTTGTAACAGCGCAACAGGAATTAAGGAGTCAACAGCAGAACCATCGGGAATTTCACCAACAAACTATCAATGCTATGGAACAAGCTCCAATTCCTGATACATCTAGTTCTCAAGGGCATGCTTCATTTCATGGCTTCGGTTCTGAAGATATAAATAGCTCGCTTGATAAAATGGAACAATATTTAAATTGCCCCACCGCACTGTCCGATCTTATATTGACCATTTTAACTTGGCCTTTTAAACACTCATTTTTAAGTTAACCGTTACGTTCTAATTGCTTTAGTTCTATCTGAAGTTTCTCTGCTGGTTTTCAATTACTATAATTTTTAGATTAATTTTTATGTGGAATTTGGACCCTTGGGATTTGGCAATATAGCAATATTTCTTCTTAGCGTTATTAATGGTATTATTATTATTATTATTATTATTATTATCATTATTATTGTTGTTGTTGTTCGCGAGCTGTGAAATACTTCTATTATTCCTTGGATGACGAAAATAAGGAGAGCTTTACAAAATTACGCGTGACGCTATGAGAGAGAGATTTGCAAACGAGAATCAAAGATGGATTATATGGCAGGCAATTACCACTCGCCAACAACAACCTGTGGGGTCTCTTGACACTTATTTAAGTAAAATTTAAGTTCCGCAGGATAAAAATCTTGGATGCAGACATGTTTAAGCCAGAAGTGACCCAAAGTAGCTATTCGTAAATTTAGTCGAATCAAAGGTAAATTAACTAAATCTTCGACCTAACGAAAGCTTCGAAAAAAAAATTTTAATAAAACGCTTACCTAGCTGAATACCCAGAGCAAACTACGGCCTTGCATGAAAATTTAAGTTGAGATCTAATTCGATTTACTATTAATATTTGAATTCATTCCTCAGCACTAATTATTACATATCATGTAGGACAGTTCAGTAAACATTTAGTCTCGTTTTGATTAGATTAATAACTTATTTCTTTTGTAAACGACTGTCAAGCAGTCATTTCTTTTCCTGGAACCAGTGAAAGTCATAAACTAAACTCAGAAAAAAGATGATCTCATGGAAATGCTTGCTGATATGTCTGAAAAGTCCTACTTGATGATCCAAGAGGGCCGGAGTGAATTCGAAGGGAATGCTTGCAGTCAGTCTTTTTATTATATTGACTATGAAAATTTGAAAAAGGTGCACTCATCTGTGTTTATCATGTAAGGAGCGCGGTAGAAGTCTGTATTAGGTGACTTGGCTACCCAGTAAAATATATTCAAACTAGTTCGATGAAAATAAAGGCAATATGAACCTGACACTAACTACTTTTTGAGGTACCTCAGGGACACTGTTCAATTGAACAAAGCATCACAGTTCTTTGTTTACTTTTTCTTTTTCTTCTCTTCGCTCTGTCCTGTTTGGCACTGCATGTGTTAGTCGCACGTTAGCCTCTAACTCATTCTTCTCTAACTCATTCTTCCTCTTGGCTTGCCATAGTCCCAGCTGGAAACGAAAAGCCTGTAGAATACCAGTGTATTTCATTGCGTTATCCCTCCATGATCAACTCACCTACACTCTTAATTCTTCTATTGTTCTGAGGAGAAAATTCAGGTTGATCAGTCATTGTTAGGGTAAAATGAATAAAACATAACAGCGCTAGCAGTTAATTGCTGGTTTTCAGTGTCACGCAATTCAAAATAGATCAAAATCAAAATCAAAACCGGTCAATAGATAAAGTCCAGAATCTGGGAAATGAAAGA